ATTTGAAAATGATATAAAAAAACAAAAAACACAAAACAAAAAACTTTTGCTTTGTTATAAGTGTGCAAACCATATTCACTGTCAGGCCATTACATTCTTATTTGTACCATGTCCTTGATATCAAAGCTCCATCTCACACTTCATTAGCAGCATAGGATCATCTCACATTTTAGTTGGCTTCAAAATAGTGACTTTCTAGCACTTTTTTTTTTTTTTTTTTTTTTTGCCCACAAGATTTGCCTGCAGCAGGAAAATGTGTGTATGTGTTTTTTGTTTTCTGTGGGGTTTTTTGCCATCTCAATCACACTATTTTTCAGAGGCCCCCTTTTTTCTGAAGGTCTACCTTGCAGAGTGCTATCTTTTGCTTTACTCAAGACCTGGCAAACTGTAGACCTATCGCATAGCTTTAATTCTGGGACTTCTCTACCTTGTTAAATTGTCTTTTTCTAGAGTTATCAGATTTATGAAATAAAAGCACAGAATGCCCAGTTAAATTTTTAATTATATATAAATAATTTTTAGTATAAGCATGTAAATTTATTGTTTCCTATATCCAAAGGCTGCTTCTCTTTCTGTTGACACCCCTGTTTTGATAGAGAATATTCTCAATTACCTTCCTAAAAAAAGAAAGCATAAGAAGCAAACTTGCTGAGTTCTTTGTCTTTTTTTGTCTCTTCATCTTTTCTTTTCTCTTTTTATATTTGATTGATGGTGTATCTATAGAACTGTAGCTTGAAAAACAATTCCTTTCAGAAATGTGAAGACATCTAGCCTGGCCAATATGGCGAAACCCCATCTGTATTAGAATTACAAAAGTTATCCATTTACATTCCTCATATGTGTCTGATACTACTTGATTATCCATTACAAAAAAAAAAAAAAAAGGACTGGGTTGTTTGGGTGGATATGATTTGCTGCTGTGTTAGTTGATCATCTTACCAAAAATACCTCTGCACCATGTAGGGTGACAGGGCTGTGTTGACTGTCATGTTCCGTTACAGAATGAATTGGTGGGACGCTGGATGTCAGGCACTGGCTTTCAAAATACCATAAAACATGCCTTTACAATCCATGGCCCATGGGCCCCATGTGGCCCAGGATGGCATTCAGTGCAGCCCAACACAAAATCATAAACTTTCTTAAAACATTGTGAGATTTTTTTTTTTTTGCAATTTTAGCTTTAGCTCATCAGCTATCATTAGTGTTGGTGGCTTTTTTAAATGTGTGGCTTATGACAATTCTCCTTCTTCCAGTGTGGCCCAGGGAAGTCAAAAGATTGGACACCCCTGCCATAAAATGAAAGGGTGTAGTCTAGAGTCCTGAATTTCACAGAAGCCTTTGCTATCCTCAGAAGGTTCATTCAATAAAAGGGGTATCTGTTTCTGCCTTTGTTTGTTTGTTTGTTTGTTTGTTTGTTTTTTTCCTGAATGCTGGAATTCTAAGCATAGAGGTCTGGGTGAAATACAGTGGTTGTGATTTGCACTAAAAATCTGTATATAAACTTTCAATTAATCTCTCTGCTTTGACTACATTTCTCACTCTCAACTTTGAGTCTAGCATGTTTCATGATTTCTAACAGGCAAATTCTGTCACACTGTCTCTATACCCCTGTATGGTGCATTCATTGTTCAGCACATTTCAATATGCATCCCATGCTCCAAATATTGCTGAACTCTCCCATACAATTGTGAGCAAATCACATCCTCCACATTCTTATCTTGTGTGGTGAGGCTTATTCATCTTTTGGTACTTTCGTTATTTTATTCCACTGAGTCTCAGGAAAGAAAGACAGGCTTAAGTGCTGGTACATCATCTTGAACTAGCAGTTTGCTGTTGTTTCTATTTTATTTCTTGATAGAAATATAATTTAAATTATGAGTTACTTCCTCAGTTATTCCCACAGAATTGCTCAGCTGCAAACACCACCATCTACTTTGCACCTAAAAAATCTGAGGTCCATTGAAATTTGAGAATATCAGAGGCTGTGGTAAAATGACTGTAGCTTTGTACTGCAATACTAAGGATGATTCTACGACTTACTTGAAAAAAACTTTGAAATAAATCTTTTCTAAAACTTATTTTGGAATTGGTCCCATTCATTCCAAAACATCTGATAAGTGTCTAGAGTGGGCCAAGTATGAGGTTAGGTTCTGGCAAGGTAGGGATGTAAAGATGAATAAGATATAAACCTTACCCTTGAGGATAATATAATGTGGTGAATAACTTGAGTTTATATAGCAGTTTGCAGTTTATAAATCAATTTTACCTATGGTGAACTCTTGGCACTTACTGATTTACCATTCACAGTTTTAACTACCCGCAAGGGACCCCAGTGATCCATGATATGTATAATTTATTCATTTGCTTAAGTACAAATTTGAATCACATGCACTGTGAGACTGTGTTGAGGATGTAGTTGCTTGGGTGGTGAAATACTCAAGCTAATACTTGTAGATCTCAAAGTAGTAGCCTTGTACATATTTATTATGAATTTATAACCAGCTTCAGCCATTTGAAATCAGTGGGATGCAAACATAGAATGGGTTTATTTTTCTCATATCATTGCCTTTAACAATGCTCCTTCAGATCTCCCTTCTCACTTTGATATTTCGGGCAAATTACATAGCTTTCAGACACTTTCTATTGTTAAAATTGCAATGTAGTCCAATTTAAGATTTCAGTTTTATTTCTTCCAATCTGCAAGCTCAGGTTTCACTCTGCCAAAGACCTTGGAGTGGGAGAGAGGACCTGGCCTGCTATTTCTCGTCTCCTCTCTTCCTTTCTGGTTCTAGCTCATTCATTATGCTGTGAGGGATGGAAGGAGAAGAAAAGGGATGATGCATTATTTTCCTGGCTACTGCCCATTCTTACTAAAGAAAAAAGAACTAGGATGTTTCTGTGGACTTGCTTTGCTGTTGTTGTTGTCACTGTGGCTAGGACATAACTGACCAGCCATGAACACTCACTGGGGCAGGCATCCAAGGGCTGACTCTCATAGGGTGCAGGTGGACATTTTCTGGGGAAGTCCTCACGGAATAGCTCTTTGATGTAAGTGATCAGCTTTGGTTTGCCCTCTTCCAAACCCCTTCAACTACATCCATGGTGACTCACCTCCACAGTTTGTTTTTGTTTTTGTTTTTTTGAGATGGAATTTTGCCCTGTCACCAGGCTGGAGTACAGTGGTACAATCTTGGCTCACTGCAACCTCCACCTCCCAGGTTTAAGCAATTCTCCTGCCTCAGCCTCCCAAGCAGCTGGGACTACAGATGTGTGCCACCATGCCTGGCTAATTTTTGTATTTTTAGTGGAGACAGGTTTTCACCATGTTGGCCAGGATGATTTCGATATTTTGACCTCGTAATCCACCTGCCTTGGGCTCCCAAAGTGCTGGGATTACAGGCATGAGCCGCCATGCCCAGCCACCTCCACAGTTTCTTAATGTCAGTTGAGGTACCACCAGGGAGACTCGAGCCCATTTATTGACTCCATATCCTACTGTAATGGGGTGTTTTACTGCTGACCTCTTTCTGCCTCACTGACTTTTTTTCAGTTCTCTTGTGGTCTCTTTGGGTCTCATTTCTCCCTGCTGAAATGGTCATGAAAGGCTGACTAGCAGGACTAGCAGGTCTGCCACATAAGAGATGTTCAATCGGAAACTGAGATGTTGGTCTACCCTTCTTACTGCACCTTTAGTCTCTATGAGAGATTCTTTTAGAACCCTCTATAACTTGGGATTTGGAAGAAACAACTCATCCTCTCCTCAGTGAGGATGGAAACGAAAGTTCTATTAACTGCAATCATTATTGCCAACTCCACTGTCTCTGATGCACCTCCCTCCCCACACCATTGGCTTGTGTAGACAGAAGCAGGAAGTGGGTAGAAGTGATTTAAGGATCTAGCCCTAATTTCTTGTGGAAGACTTTCTTTATCCTTAGATTTGGATCCTACTTACTGATTTTGAGTCAGTAGGAAAAGTACTGCTCAACAGCCCATTACATTTTGTGCTATGCATGTAGTCACATTAATTGGAGAATTGACAAAGAGCTAGGAAACATTCTTCCTGAATATTTAGGGGTATGTTTCTTAAGATAAGGTTTACAGAACACTGTATCTGAATCCACTGGGGAGCTTAGAAGAAAAGATACTAATTCCTGGGCCCCATATCTAAATATCTGGACTCCTGGGGGTTGGGAAAGAGTCGGGAATCAAGATTTTGAACCAACACTTCAGGTTTTACTTGGGCATGCTGAAGTTGGGCAACCACTTGCCTGAAATCCACTGCACATTACTTAGGCCCTCCCAATACCTCTGTGAAGTAGGTAGGAATAGTATTATTTTCATTTTATTGATAAGAAGATTGGGATTCAAGAGAACCATGGCTTGCTAAATGGCAGCGTAATATACCACTCGAAACTAGTGATAATAAGTATCAACCTGCCCCATTAGTCTGCTACTGGCTATAATTTTCAGCAGAGAGAAAATATAACTTAATTCATTTATGTTTTTTTGATTACCAAAGTAATATATATTCACTTTATGAAATCCACAAAAGCACAAAAATTAACTAAAATATAATCTCAACATTCAGATGTAATAAGTTGTTTCTTCATGTTATATCTGTTTTATAAAATTAAAATCAAATTATATGTTAATACTTTTTAGTAATCTGCTTCCTAAAATTGATGTATTGTGAATTTCACCATCCATTAAATATGTTCTTTAACATTATTTTCAATGTGAATGTAATGTTCTACTTTATGGGTATGCAAATCTATTTAACCAATCTCCTGTTGATGGATAGTTTGATTACTTCAACTTTTTACTACTAAAAAAATACTTTAAAGGTTGGGTATTTAAAGGAGAGGGGGAATGTATTTCAGCTGTTTAGATATAATGAAGCCAATTATTAAAGGTTATTTATCAAAAGTGTTCAGGGTCTGAAATGATATGGAACATTTCCATGGTCACTAAAAAGATTATGTTGTTTTCTTTCTTAACAGGAACAAGACCATTTTGTTTTACTTTAACCTATTACGTTGTACCAGTCCCTCCATGATGCTAAACCTACAGTGCCCTACCACACAGGTAAGGCAAAAGGTGACTCACTGATGGTGTCAGCCATTCCAAATATTCTTGGATAAAAAAATTCAGAAATTCGATTTGAGTTCTCTCTCTCTCTCTCTCTCTGTCTCTCTCTCTCTCTCTCTGTGTGTGTGTGTGTGTGTGTGTGTGTGTGTGTGTGAGAATTATAGATTTCTAGAAGATGGGAAGACATAAATCTGAGCTTATATTTGTTTACATACAATCAAAATTAAGCAGAAATTAATCATTTAGAATCACTTAGGAAGCTCGATTGTCTTGTACCACCACTTACTTTTATAAATAAATATTTGCAGCCCAGAGAAATGGAGACTTTTTTATCAAGATCAGCATTGTATTAGGAGTAAAGCTAGCTACTATAACTAATAAACCCAAGTTTTTCAGTGACTTCACACAGTAACATTTATTTTTTGACCATGTAACAGTACAAGGCAGGCGTTTGTGATCAGTCGGTACTCTCCTTTAGGGTCCTTCCATCTTAAGGGTGGCTTAAGCACTTAAGGGTGACTCTGCTATTCCTTAAATCCTCCCCATCATCTGCATCCAGCAACAAAAAGGACTTAGTGAGGATGAATAAAACACTCCTGCTCTTAAAAGCCTTGGATAAGAAGTTTTACACATTGCATTTCTACTCATATGCCACAGACACAAACTGGTTGTAAGTGGTCACACCTCTCAAAGACCTAAAGACAGAAATATCATTTGACCCAGCAATCTCCTTACTGGGTATGTACCCAAGGTAATATAAATCATTCTATTAAAAGATGCATGCATGTGTATGTTCACCGCAGCGCTATTCACAATAGCAAAGACATGGAATCAAGCTAAATGCCCATCAGTGACAGATTGGATAAAGAAAATGTGGTACATAAACACCATGGAATACTATGCAGCCATAAAAAAGAACAAGGTCATGTCTTTTGCAGAGAAATGTATGGAGCTGAAGGTCATTATCCTTAGAAAACTAAAACAAGAACAGAAAACCAAATACCACATGTTCTCACTTATAAATGAGAGCTAAATGATGAGAACATATGGACACAAAGAGGGGAACAACAGACATTGGAGCCTCTCTCAACGTGGAGGGTGGGAGGAGGAAGAAGATCAGGAAGAAAAACTAATGGATACTCAGCTTAATAACTAGCTAATGAAATAATCTGTTCAACAGACCCCCACGACACAAGTTTACCTACGTAACAAACCGGCACATGTACCTCTGAACTTAAAGTTTATAAAAAAAGAAATTTAAATGTTTCTAATCCCACAAAAAATAGGTTACACCCAGATTCAAGGAGAAGGGAATTGAGCAATGTAGGTGTGAGCTGAGCTGCCTTTTCTATATCATGCAACAAATGGAATAAGAGACACAAACCTCAATGAATTGTTAAGTGTATTTTCTGTAGTCTACCTCTCTGTCCTCTAGAACACCCTTCTTCCCGAAGGAGAACCCATAGTCTCATGTAGTACTATCTTTAACTCAAAGCCTGGGTTCTATAGATGATGCATAGTTCTCTTTATGAAGTCTTGACACTATATGTATAATGAGCAACAAGGACAGAAAAATTAGAATTACAAACTCCCATTTAGAAAAGAAGGAGTGATAAATACACAGCCATTTCTGGATCGCAGCAATGGAGAACAGTCTTTTATTCCACCTGGACTGTGTTATCTGAGAACTCCCTCATCCGTTGCTTCCTATAGCTCTTTGCTTGGCCACCTGGGGGGTAATTTTCTGTCCTTTAGCCTCCAGACCATGCGAATGCTGAGCACTGGAAAGTATGCTGTGTTGAGGGCCATATTGCTTTGAAGCTCACTTCTTGTTGTGCAAGTTTCATATCACAAATATTATTTTAACAGTGAAAGGCTTCTTAAGGCTAGCTCTTTTTAAAAAAATTTAACTTTTTTTTTTTTTTTTTTTTTTTAGCATTATTGTTACCTCAGAAACTTAGTAGTAGACTTCTGACTTTTTTTATTCTTCTTGGTTCCATGTGCCGGTAACTATACCCAAACCTGGTCCCTAGGATTAGTTTGTAAATCTGCTTTATTTCTTTGTTTCCTCATCTCCTCAAAGGCTTTTGAAATCTTACTTCTTCTGAGACTAAAGCCCACTTGGGATGTTGGTATTTTAGTTCTGTGACCACTTCTACCCACTTCCCCAAAGGCAAACCCTTGACCTTGTCAATATTAATAATTGCTCACCTTTGTAATATCAGTTTCTCTGATCATCTCAATTCCTCTGACATTTCAACTCCAATAATTCTTTTACATTACTGGCACCTGCAAACCACTGATCTTAACCTGTCCAAAGTATCGCTCAGTTCCTTCACGTTTGCATCTCCCTTCTTACCTGACTTATATTCCACAGTCCCTGAGTGAAATCACTCCCTTATACATATTCTCAATTCCATTGTTCCCTGTCCCTGGCAAAACCTGACTGTAAAGATAGCTCTTAGCCTACTCCCTGCCTGAACCCAGGCAGCTGTGTATTCTTGGAGAAAAATATGCAACAGTCATTTAAATTCAGGACCTAACTTCAAGTGGGCCATTAGTGCTGTCCCTCAACCAAACCACAGACCCTTGTCCATTCTATAGTCTACTGCCCTAGAAAACAATTTCACACCTTTTCCTCTCGCCTGGAACCTCCAAGATCTCTTTCCCAATCTCTATGCCAGCCTCTGACTTTGCTTCCTGTCTCACTGAGCAAGTACAAGCATTCAGAAGACAACTTTTAAAATCTCCACGTTGTCATCCATTTGCCCACCTATCTTCATATATGTCATATACTCATTCTGCCTTCCCTCTAGTTCCCCGTGGGTGAACTGCCTGTGCTTCTGAGACCAGGGCATCCATTTCCCACGAAATCTCATCCTCTCACATACTTAAGCACATCACTTCAGAAATGTTGTTTTTTTCTTTTATTATCATTTTTCCTTCTCTACTATTTTATCTCCATCAATATACAAAGCGTATGGGTTGATCATTAATCCTCCTCAAGTATTTCTGCAGATGTTCCCTTCTTAATGAGGCTTCCTTCACTGTTTATTCAAAATTATAATCCCACCCAGCCATTCCTCTCTCTTTCTAGTGTCCTTTCTATCATTATTTACCTGCCATCTTATACCATCTTATTCATTTCCACTTATTACCATCGTGTAATATTTTACTTATTTATTATTTGTTTCCTGTCTCCCTCTACTAGAAGAAAAATTGCTTAAGGGCAAATATTTTTATCTGTTTTGTTCACTGCTGTTATTTCTTTCACCTTAACAATTTTTCCCCTTGACCCCACATCCCCCTCCAGCTATTGGTCCATATCTATGTACCTCTTTTTTTTCAAAATTCCTCAAAAGAATAGTCTACATTCATCTATCTAAATCCTTTTCTCTCACTCCCATACAAGCTTTTATCCCTACTTCAATGTCCCCAAACAATACCATCGACTGCAACATTATTAAACTAATGGTTATTGTTAAATCCACATTTACTTGATCTAACAATAGTATTTAATCAATCTCTCCTCCTTAAAATATCTCTTTGCACCTGGCTTCCAGGTCACAACATTCTTCTATATTTTCTTCCAACTCTCTGGCTACTCCCATCAGTCTCTTTTTAATGTGTTCTATTCATCTTTCCAACATCTTTTAAACATTGCATTTCCTTCCCACAAGAAGCTTAGTCCTCTTCTAAGTTTGTATTTACTTCTTTGATGATCTCACTTGGTCTCATGGGTTTAACATCATCTACATGCTGACCTCTGAAATTTACATCTCCAAATAAATCTGCTCCCTGAGCTCCAGACCTTTCTATCCAACCACCCATACTATATCTCTACATGAATATTTAGTTGGCATCACAAATTTAATGTGTCCACAACTGAATTCCTAATCTGCGACTTTATCCCTAAAATTGTTCCCCACCCCAACGTCTTCCCTGTCTCAATTAATGCCAGCTCCAAATGCCTTGATTTCTACCTTATCTTTGATTTCTCTCTCTCTCATACCCATGTTCGAGCCCTCCTTAGGTCTCCCTCCAAAATGTACCCTGAACCAAACTATTTCTCACCACCTCTTCCTTAGTTCAAGGAGCTAATCATCTCTTTTTTAGATTAGTTCAGGGATCTCCTGACTAGTCTTTCTGCTTCTGTCCTTGCCCCCTTCCCTTTGCCATCTTTTTTCCACCCAGTAGCCAGTGTGGTCCTCTTAAATATAAATCTGATTATGTCTCTTCTTTGCTTAAATGCCCCAATAGCTTCCCAAGTTACTCATATGAAAGCCAAAGTCCTAACAATGACCTGTAAGATCCTTCACTGTCTGACCCACTCTCTGACCACATATCCTATTCTACTCCCTTTGCTCACTGCACTTGGGTCATACTGGCCATTTGTGGTCAGTATGAAAGGATCCAGGAACTCTCCTGCCTCAGACGTAGACTTTGCTGTTCTCCCTACTTAGAGAATTCTTCCTCCAGATGACCATATGTCTTGATTGCTCATCCGGTTCAAGAATTTCTGCAAATGTTACCTTCTTAGTTAGGCGTCTTTAACTATCTCTCTAAAATTAGAATCCCTCCCAGTCACTCCTTTCTCTCCCTGTAGCCTCCTTTCCAGCCTTATTTATTTATTTATCATTACATACCATCTTATTTACTACTATTTATTACCATCTTATGACAAACGTTTTACTTATTGTTTGTTATCTGTCTCCTCCTAGCAGAAGACAAATTGCTGGAGGGCAAGGATTTTTATGTGTTGTTCACTACTAATTCCATCCTCAGCACTTATAACAGGCTCAGAGTAGGGGATCAGTAAATATTTATTAAATGAATGAACAAATAAGACAATGAATATCTTCCTACTCCCAGTTTAAGAATTTTTCCTCTATACTCTACAAATGTATCGTTCCTATGATAAAACAAAATATACTTGCATATTATGCTTTTTTGTTGTTTCATGAATGATTTACTAGATCATCTTTTCTTCACAACAAATGTAGTCTTTTAACCTTCAATGTAATTCACTCTCCCAGCCACCAAATTCTAATTTGTAATTGAGTGCTAAGCCTATCTGCATTAAAGATAAAAATAGTGATACAGAACTTTATGCAAAGTGCCCTTTGTGTTACACAGAGAATCAGAACTGAGTCAGAATATATTTTAGCTGCTAATAATGCAGACTTGCATTTAGTCTTTAAGACAGTGGTGAATCTACTGATCTGAGCCATATTTTTATGCACCATATTCTTGTTAACTGCTGACATGGTCCAGACATGTGTCACAAGCACTTAAAGGAGAGACTGTGATCAATCGGCACACCCAACCTCAATGTGACCTTCATTTTGACTAATTATATGTTGATTGCTACTAATCAGCACCCTATTTGAAGTGAACAAATTGGTCTGATAGAGGAAGAAAGTAAAATGCAGTTGTATTGTTTTTTAACAGCTCATTTGTGTCTAGAATGAGAGTTGATGTGATTCCCCTTAACAAACCACGTTTTATCATTTTAATTACTTTCTTTTATGTGTTGCATACCCAGCACTTTTCTATGTGTAGTTTACATTGTTTGTGTGTGTGTGCTTTATAAATACAGAATCATTACAGTCTCAATTCAGAAGTATCTACCATCATTTAAAGCCTGTGAAAGCATTAGTGCTTTTAGTACTCACTTTTATAAATCCATTTAAGTGTAACCAGTAGAAGTAGTTCAGTTGTCTTTCAATGTCATATGAGTCAATTGTCGAAGTCTAAATGTCTGTAAAATATCTCCTAATATGTTAATGGTTTATTCAGCTTAGCTCTAATCAGAGTGAACTTTTGACATTTGCATTGATAATCATCTTAACCTTCTTCTAAAAGATGTGGGTGTGTTGCATACTGTGAATGTCCCTAAATAATTCTTCAGCTTTCTTAGAAAGATACCTATGAAGCCACTAGTATTTTCTCTAACGGTACATGCATGTGCATATGTGAGTGTGTGTGTGCATGCACGTGTGGATGAGAGACTGAGAAAGAGGAAATACAGGGGGAGGGAGGATGTGGAGATGGGTTGTTTGCCCTGCCAAAATTTCTAGGAGGAATTGGACTGCTGTTGCTTCAAGACAATATTAACTGTGAGATTTGAGGCATATGCATTTCATTATTCTCTTGCTAACTTAGCTGTAGGGCCCACACCGAATGCCTTTGTGCATACCAGGAACATAACCCAAAAGATGGAAAGGAAATGTCAGCTAAGCAGCAATGTTTTACCTAATTGCCAATGGGTTGAGCTACAGGTTGGCCAATGAGAATAATTACTAGAGCAGGGAGATGGAGCAAGTCAGGGCTGAGAATATTTCAGATGGAGGAAGTGAAAGTGATGGAGAAACTTGAAAGGGTTAGCTGCAGTTCACATGGCTTCATCTGACTTTTGTTATTTATTGCAAACAAAAGCAAAACCAATAGAGTACATCTCTTCTGATTCTGCCTTCCCTCTGTGGAGTCACTAATTGGATTTCAATGGTGGCTTCGTGGACTAGCACAGTGATCTGGTTTGGCACTGATAGGCCCCCAAAGTTTATTAATATAAAATAATTGCAAAGATGACCTGTCTGCCCACATGTAGATGGTGCTGGTAAAAGACCATACTGATGATTGATCATGGCAAATAGCCCTGATCTGTTAGTTTCTTATGGTGCTAAAACCTCAGTTACTTTTTGAGAATTGTGTTTAAGAATTCACTGGCACTAAAAATTATTAGTGGCATAAGTGTTCAATATTCAGAGAATTTTAAATTATCATTTTATTCATATTTAGGAAAGGAAGGAAGATTTTAACCCTGAATATATATGTACTACATAAGCATACTCTAAAATCATAAAGTATTTTATTAAAAGTCTATCACTGTCCCATGGTAGGGGTCACACAACCACATATCTGATAAAATGGCATAGAACTACACACATACACACACACACAAGCAAGTGTATAAAACAGGTAAGCTCTGAGTAAGGTTGGTGGCTTCTAACTGTCTTACTCTGTTTAGTGTTGCTATAAAACAAATACCTGAGGCTGGGCAATTTATAAGGAAAAGAGGTTTGTTTGGCTCATGTTTCTGCAGGTTGTACAAGAAACATGGAGCCAGCATTTGCTTCTGTTGAGGGCTTCAGCTTTCTGCCTTCCACTCGTACTGGAAGGCAAAGAGGAGCTGGCATGTGCAGAAATTACATGGCTAGTGAGAAAACAAGAGAAGATAAGGGAGGCTCCAGGCCCTTTTTAACAACCAAATCTTGAGGGAATTAATAGATTGAGAACCCACTCATCATCACAAGAACAGGGGGCATCTTCCCTCATGAACAGGACAGATTCTCCCTGAACTGTAAGTACAGGGTGGAGCTGCACCTATGAACCAGACACCTCCCATTAGGCCCCATCTTCAACAATGGGGATCAAATTTCATGAGGTATGTGGGGACAAATATCCAAACTATAGCAGTAACAATATTAATTTCCTGCTTATGATAATGTGTTATGGTTATGCAAGTTCTTACCATTGAGGGAAACAGAGTGAAAGGTATGTGAAATCCCTATTATTTCTCACAACTGCATGTTGATCTACAGTGATCTCAAAATCAAAAGTTGAAAATAAGTCTGTCACTGTATGGTATCTTGTTTTAACATAACATCAATATCAAAGAGCAAAGAGCAGAGATTGGTAACTAGTACATGAAATTTCATTTTTTACAATAAGACTAGAAAATTGATTTAGATCAGGTACAGTAGCTTACACCTATAATCCTAGCATTTTGGGAGGCTGAGATGGGCAGATCACTTGAGCTCAGGAGTTTGAGACCAGCCTGGGGAATATGGCAAAACCCCATTTCTACAAAAAATACAAAAATTAGCTGGGCATGGTGGTTCTTGCCTGTAGTCTAAGCTACTTAAGGGGTTGAAATGGGAGGATCACTTGAGCCCAGGAAGTTTGAGGCTGCAGTGAGCCATGATCATGCCACTGTCTCTAGAAAATTTAAAAAGAAATGAAGAAAAAGAGAGAGAAAGAAAATTGATTTAGGTTTCTTAGATGTAAAACAGTGCATTGCTTTTTATTGTGGTGGATAATTTATAAGCTTAACTTTATAGGTAGTTCCTGGGTGTGTTCAACTCAGTTCAGTTCTCCTCACTTTGTTCGTTCACAGATCTGTGTCTCCAAGTGCCCGGAAAAATTTTTAACCTATGTGGAAATGCAACTTTTATACACAAAAGACAAGAGCTACTGGGAAGACTACCGTCAGTTCTGTAAGACCACTGCTAAGCCTGCAAAGGTAGGTGTGTTTAATCTTAAAGCTAGAGAAGAATTTAACTTTTTTTTCAATTTCAAGTGTAACATGAGCATTTGTTACCGAACAAACTCCTGAAACTTCTAGGAAATGATTAGACACAATTTCATTAAAACACAAATGCATAAGTACTGAATGTGTACACACACCATTTATAGCACATCATTTTATAGATTTGGGGTGTTATGAAAGGCTGTTTTGTCTGGTTAATTAGCTTCTACTATTTCCTGACACCAACAAATTCTCTACTTGGATAGATTTTTACTCTAGAACTAGGAGTTAATGTCATTTGCAGTCACCATTTTGTTAATGTGATGATGAAGCTCCATAGCAACTTAGTAACAAGTAGAATTTTATTTCCAAACTCAGTTTGGTAACAACTCTTTTTAAAAACCCCAACCCCTTACCTAGGTGAGAGATAGGTAAGAAATTCTAAATCATCCTTATGTTAAATAATAGAAATGGTTTCCAAATTAGAGAAGATGCTGTTTTTCTAGAAAAAAGGAAAGAAAGAAATTAGAGACTCAGGATATGACTAAGAAAAAGATACATACCTCCAAAGGTGTGCCTTGTTTTCAAATGATCTGGTTTTATTATTGTTGGTTTGATTGAATTACAATTAGGACATTTCAGAAAGTTAAGCAACCTTGTGTGTATGTGTGATAGTCTTACAATTAATATTATTAGGAGAAGTAATTTGGAATAAGGAGATTATTATGGAGTTAAACTTTTAAAGGACATATTTAGATTGAGTATAAAGTAATCCTCACATGGCCTTTAAATGTTAACATTCTTCCTTTTATTTTAGTCTCTCACACAACTTTTACTGGATGATGATTGTCCAACAGCGATTTTTCCAAGCAAACCTTGTAAGTGGCAATTATTTTACCTTAAAAACACAGAATCTACCAAAATCCTACTTAATTAAGTTCCCATATTTCACAATTGAGGAGACTGAGGCCAAGAATGGCCCTCTGACTGGCCTAAAGTCACAGAATTGATTAGTAGAAAAGTCAAAAGTAGAGCTCATCTCTTGACTCCAACCAGGTACCTTTCCACTGGAACTCTGTGATTTTTTAAATTTTCCTTCATAAACATACAAGAAAAAGATTGAAAGTTGAAAGCTCAGTCAGATTGATCATTTGGTGCTTTAGAAGCATACATAAACACAAACAGACACACTCGTATACACCGACTCCTGATTTTAGCTGAAAACTTTGTTCAGAAATTGCCTGGGGAGTAGGGGGAGGACATATACTTGTCTTAATCACTTGAAATATTTATATATATTCAGAATTAGTCAATATTTTGTTTATTTAAAATTATAAACTATATTTAAGTAATACTTTGTTTGGACAAAATGAGGCCCAGTACTTTGGGAAGAAGGCCAAGGTGGGAGGCTTGCTTGAGTTCGAGACCAACCTCAGCAACACAGTGAAACTCTGTCTCTACAAAAGTTTTAAAAAGAAATTAGTGAGACATGGCAAGTCCCAGCTACTTGGGAGGCCAAGATGGGAGGATCACTTGAGCTGAGGAGTTGGGGCCTGTGGCTAGCTATGATTGTACCCCTGTATACAGCCTCAGTAACGGAGTGAAACGCTGTCTCTAAAAAAATAAAAATAAAAAGAAGAAAATAAAATAATCACTGAGTTTTCTTGCTTATGGATATAATCCTAATTATTAAAAAAAGCTTTAATTAAAATGTCCATCACATTTAAAGTATCAAAAAAAAAAAAAAGAAATACTGTACTGTCTAAGAGCAAAAGAATATTCAAATAAATTATAATGTATTCACTAAAGGAAACAGTTTAGAATTATTAAATACAACTATTAGAATAACATGCATGTGTATGTTATAATGTTAAATAAAATTCAAACTCTTACAAGCCATATAATGATAAACATGTATAAATTACAAACAAGCAAAAAGTTTGGAAAGATATATGCCAAAACATTAAGTAGTTGTTTTGGGGATGGTGAAACTGTGGGAAATTTCTCGCTTCTTTCTTTTTTCTCTTTATTCGTTTTCCTACAATGTGGATATTTCTTTTAAAATGGAGGAAAGGCATTAGTCATTAGAATAGATAGTCAAATACCCACTAAAGTAGCTACCACCGAACATGTCTATATGCTGCCATCACTCTTTGCTGGGTCATAAAAGACCTTGAAGCAAAGATCTAGGTCCCACAGCAATAGCACTTACCAGGAAGCTCTCAGCGACAAATGTCCGCAGCCAAAATCAATGTTATAAATTTTTACGCAAAAGGATAAAAGTAAACCATTAGTAACAAAAGACATAATAGGTATAAAAGTATAAGACATAGTCCCTGCCCTTACAAGTACAGTTTGGCTAAATCACACAGGAAAAGATGTACATTGGGGAATCAAAAATGAATAAGGCATAGTTCTTCACAGTCTAGTGAGAAAGACATTAAAGTAAACGTTGCAATCAACTTGTGTTCCTCCTAATATGAAATTAAATAGTACTCAATAGAATAGTATGCAGATAATAAAATTTGTTCATTAAAGAGTTCATAAAAGGAAATAAGTGAGAATTAAAAAAAAATAAGGGAAAACACTGCATGTTCTGTATGATTTTGACCCTCAAAAAATATTTATTGTAGAAGAAAGACTGGAAAGAAATTCCCCAAAATGTTAATATAGTTCACAGTAGGTGGAAGGACTATGTATAGTTCTATATCTTTTTTATATTCTATCCACTTTCTGAATATGTAATGAACATATTTAGTAACAGAACCTAACAGATTGGATGACATTATCCGGAAAAACATATGAAACAAGGTCAGGAGACCCTCTGGGTAGGAACACTTGTATTTAAGGAGTAGAAAGGGGTGGAGTGCACAGAAACACGGAAGGGAGGACAGGAGAGCATCTGGCCATGTAAGCCAAGAGGACAGTTTCAATACGACAAGGAGTTTCTACCATGTCAAAGGCTTGAAAAAGTTAACAAATTCGTCAGCAAATATTTACTGATTTCTACTGTGTGCCAAGCCCCGTTTTACATAATGGGTTTAAGCAGGATGAAGACTAAAACATATCTGGAGGTTTTGACAATCGAGAGGTCATTGGGACCACTGGGAGGATAATTTCCATGAAATGGTGGGGGCAAAACTCTGAACCGAGGGAGTAGAAGTAGCTGGTAAAGACTACTGTGTCATATTTACCACAGAAAGGAAGGGAAGAGCAGTAGAAAGGTGGGGCAGGTAAAGGAATCAGCCACATCTTAAGTGCAGCAGAAGCGAGAGATGAGCAGACAAGAAAATTCCTTTTTAAGCCAGGATAGTTGGGAAAGGCTTTAAAGAGACCTATTTCTTCTTTCCCCAGCTCAACTGCTTTAATATTTTCAGGTTTGAACTACATATGAGCCCATGCAAATCAGTGATTCTTCTTATAAGAAAAAAAATGTGAAAATGATCCATTTCTGATTTTCCTTATTTCTTCACTTAAAATTGGGGTTTTAAAATACTTTTAGTAATAAATTTGTAAAGAGGCAAAGACTCTAATCAAAATAAAAACATAGAAGATCAAACAGTTATTTTACTTTTCTTAAAAATCATACTAGTCTACAAAGTGTAGGCCTCTTTTGATAGCTTCAGAATTTCCATTTTCAGCTCCACTAAAAACTGCTGTAAATGAAAAAGCTGGGAGATAAATTGTTAAGAATTCACAGACAAAAATTTAGTTGTTTTAGTAGCCTGAAGTTTGAGCTGGCTTTTATTTCCCAAGGTATTATTCCCTAATCTCCAATTTTCAAGATTTTACTCAAGTAGTACCTAATATATATTTTTAACAGCAAAACTAAACTCAACCAGTAATACAAGTTAATGTGGCTTTCTACTAAAATGTGCTTGCCATGAATAATATGTATCATTGTTACTCTTTTAAAACCTAAGCTGTGCATTTTATTTATGATGACCTGATCAATATACCATGTGTAAAGTAATCAAGTTTAGAATGTAGCTTCAGAGTGTGATCATATTTGCTTTCTAGTCTTAGGACCATTAGAAAATTAGATCATCAAGTAACAGGCAATGGGCTATCTATATTGAGCAATTTGCATGTCTAGCAAGAATTTGGTTATATATATAACAAAGTTTAAGAAAGGGAGGACATTATGAAAGAAGAAGTAGAAAAGTGATTTCTATAATTTATTTTTGCAGTTCTCCAGAGATGTTTCCCTGACTTCTCTACCAAAAATGGCACTTTAACAATAGGAAGTAGCATGGTGTTTCAAGATGGAAATGGAAAGACAAGAAGTGTTATAGAACTCAGGGATGCTGCAAAGTATGTGTTTATGTTGTAATTTTCAGTTTTGATGCATTTTGTTACTGCACTCAAGACTATAAAGCTTCTATCAGTTTAAGAGTTATAGGAAACAATTATATATATATGAAATATATATATTACTATGGATTGAAGAACTTGATATATATTCATTAAGAAGAACATATAAAGGAGAAACCAGAATCAATTAGAAAGAATAATGATGTTTTTTCTTTTGCTGGAGTACAGTGGCATGATATCACGGCTCACTGCAACCTCCACCTTTCAGGATCAAGTGATTCTCCTGTCCCAGTCTCCTGACTAGCTGGGATTTTAAAAAAGAAAGAAAGAATGAATAATGATGCTTTTCAAAATTTTTAAATCTTTCATTCTCAACAGGTACAGAAGTGTAATATAAAGAAATGTATTGGTGGCATATCAAATATCTTTGTACTAAGTATAGTGCAGTAAATTTACCCTTGGCTGTACACACATGGTGCTACATGTTACTGGAAAATATATTTCCCTGTGTGCACACATAAACACATACACATGTGTACAAACATAAATGCACACCGCATATCACTGTATTGCTCAGTTATAGATAAAAATTAAAGTTATTCTATAAATGTATTTATCTTAAAAGACTTTAGCTGTATAATTAGTATAGTGTAGTTCCTGCATTTTTAGAATACAATAGCAGCATTCATGATTTTCAGAAATAAAAATCTGTGTAAAATAAATCTCAAAATAATACAAATGTGATTCCATTGATATAATGGTCAGAAACAAGCAGAGCTAAATTTATTTCCCTGTTATGCATATATAATTAGTAAAATGAAAAATAAAACTTTAGAAATTATTATCACGGAAGTCAGAATAGTGGTTACTTTGAGGAAGAGAGCGGTGTTACAGTTGGGGCACATGAAGAAGGGACTGACAATGTTGTCCTTATATGACTGTGTTCACTTTGATAATTCATCAAATTGGACACTGATTGTGAAATTTCTAGTAAGTGTTCCATCGTGCCTTACTGTCAGGATTAGGAAGGGGAATTAAAGATGATGCTCATTCTTGACTATGGGTTTTGCAAGTTAAAAACTAATCTTATCATTTAAATTCATTTCTTACAGTGAGGTTTCTGCAATATTGAGGGAAGGTTGCAAACAATGGAAAAGGATTTGCTCACCATTCTTGAAAATCATGTTCTCTTTGTGTTCAGCTATAGCTCACTTTGCAGGTTTACTGGTTACATTTTATGTATTATTGTGGCTAGGAAAATAGTCACTACTGATAGATGGTTTCTGAAAACATGCTTTCAACAGCACCTTGCAGAATCCCTTTTATCATAACAAGAACATTTCTATTTAGTGGTCATCAAAAAGTAATTGATTTTTTCTTTCTTTCAATGCAGTGGTATTAATAAACTACTTGATGCAAAGTCACTTGGATTGAAAGTCTTTGAAGACTATGTAACAACTTGGTATTGGATTCTCATGTAAGTGAAAACACATACATGTTTTTCTCCAGCCCCATTCTGATTTTATCTTTGTAGAATTCTTTCTTCAATTTTTTTGTTCTTATTCATGAATAAAAGGTTCACTCAGATCTCAGTTCCTGCCATTTTCTTTATCAGATGAGGTGTGACAGTGGAAAGATATTTGGAAATATGCTCAGTGTTGGCAGAATGTAAATTTTAATTTTATTCACGAAAGTACTAATAAAAGTATTCTTATAAAAACATACTTCAAGTCATGTGAGGCAATATCTGCAGGACTTCTGTATCTGTAATACTCTGCACTAATCATCACATGCTACCGTGGATGCAGGATCGTTTCTCAGATTCTTTTTCTAATTTGTCCCTCCCTTGACTTCGAAAGGATCGTTCTTATTTTTAACACATCCCTTCCACATAATGACTGGTATTCATCATCACCAGAAGTCATTGTAGTTATGAGAAGCTACCTAACTATGTATGTGATACATAAATATATATGTATAGATAAGGAGGGGGAGGAGATGTAACATTTTCAGACGTAAGATTCGCATTCCTAGAAAGTTAAGGAAATGTAGTCACTGCACTGGAATGGGTAAATGTGTGACAGATCTAAGACGGTCAGTACTGGCTGGCTCTTTCGTCATTCTCTAGTTCTTAAAAGCTTCTCTGGTTCCCTAATGGTCAAAGACTAAAGCTAAAGCTTTTTCAGATATTTCTGAGGCCCTTTAAAACCTGCCCAACTTAGTTTCTCCAATTTATCTCCACCCATGTTTCTCGGTTAACACTATATTCTAAACACATCAAATAACATTCCCATCCCTATACTATCAAATCCCATAAATTTGCACATTCTGTTTTCTTCCCTGGCATATGCTCTGAGTCTTGGGAAACGGTACCTCATTTTAAAAAATCAGCTTTGGTATCATGTATGAAACCTTTATTATCTTCCCCAGATATAATTACTTACTTCTTCCAACGTGTTTCTCATACCTATCACGTGTGTACATGTGTGTGTATACACACCTATAAATACACACACATGCTCATCTTCCATATAGCATCTACCATTCTGTATTTTCTTTGCCTGTCCCTTTCCCTCTGATAAAGTATGAACTCTTTACAATAAATATGTCTAACTCATCTTCGTTTCCCTAACCTCTATATGAGTACTTGAACATAGTAAACACACAAAAATATGTTAAGAAACAGCAAGAAAAACACTAGTGGGTCAAGATACGTGAATGTAACTACATGATGCATAATAAAGTCTAACTTGTACTTTGTGTGAGAAACTAGTGGGTGGTGTTTAGAGCTGTAAAATCAGATCACTTCATGAGATTTTACTCATTTTGATGCTTTGTCCTAAACAATTAGAGTAATTACTTTTAGTATGTTAGGATTTATCTTCAGCAAAGATCGTAGTCTATTCTTGACATTATTTAAACTGATTCCCCTATTGTCAGACCCAAATGTCACTAGGTAATTTCTATGCTGCTTCTTCATTTGGCTTTTTCATATCTACCTGAACAAGTGTACATTGTAATAGATTCTCCTGCTTACCTCACCCCCAAAACACATGCCAAAACCCTCTCCACCCAGGCACCACTCATAAGAGTAAAACATCAACTCTCCCTTTAGTTTCAATTCTTCTGCTCTCATTTATTTTGTAAATCTAAATCTAAAGTACTTATATGATTATATCTAGTTTATTCAGTTATAATTTTTATGTACAAATTTAAAACACACCGAATAAACAGTTTTATTTCTTGTTATTTTTTTCCTCTGACATTTCTGAATCCTTTCCTTGGGCTGTGCCATAAAATAATCTTTCAACCATATTGAATATTTAAGCATTAAAGTATCTGTGATTTTAAGAGGGAATGACTTCCAAAGTTAAAAGCATAGGCTTTGCAAGACTCTGACACTTCAGTACTGTGTTGTCATCTATCCAGTGACAGTAATTATGGAGGTTTTTTAATAATAAAAAGATAACACTTGAGACAGTAACTTCGTAAATGTACCAAACTGTGTCTGTTGCTATGTTTGGAAACTTACAGGTAACACCAGACATAACAGTTCTTAATAGAAGCATCGGGCAACTTTCCAATCTTAATGAGTTCTCTTTGAGAAAATTACATCAGAAGACTCCAATGTGACCTTAACCTGGATATATGGGAGGAAAAGAAGCTTCTCTAGTAGTTCAGTCAAGCTCTAAAAAGAAATTAAAACTGACAGAAAATAGTCATACTGTTAATTTCTTGATAAAGTCACACGTCCCAAGAGATACAGAAGCTTTATCCTGATTCCAAATAATAGCCCACAGATCATTGGGGACCTGGAATAGATGTCTGGTGACATAAGGCATCACAAACTCCTAGAGATAATTAGACCATAGAGATAATGACTACAGCATTATGGGCTCTGAGGGTGGCCAGTTATTTTTCTTATCTTTCTGCCCCAAAATGATTTTCTTACTTCTATAGCCATATTACAGAAGATTTCCACCAGTCACCAGGTAAATGAAACAGAACAAATTCATCATGAATATATTTTACAATTTATGACCTAGTAGGTAGATATGGAGAGAAAAAATAAGACATGGCAACTGTTGCCAATAAATCAAAATTGTAGGTTGGAGGAATTGTATTTTTCCTTGAACAATAACTGATACTAGACTTCAGTTTACACAAAGATGTAAACTTTTTCAGGTACACAAAGATGACTTCTGTATAAAGTCCCTATGGTCCTGCTCTTTCATATGAAAGTCTTAATGGAAATCATTGTTTATACTTTTTAACATTATTGTTTCTATGGCCAGCTAAAATAATTTGAGAATAATTTTGAATAGAAAAAAAAGTTTTGTCTTGATGTTTGTCATACGTTATGTTTAGCACACTTGACAGCTGTGTTTGTTGTGGGTTTTTTCTAGTGGGCTTACGATCGCCATGTTCCTTAGTTGGATATTTTTGATACTCCTGAGGTTCATAGCTGGATGCCTCTTCTGGGTCTTCATTATTGGTGTGATTGGAATCATAGGTTATGGTAGGTATCACTCCTCTTCAAATTGCCAAATATCAGAATAATCTTTTTATTTTCAATTGCTATGATTGCTTACCAGAAAGCATTTGTTTTCTGTGGATCTAATTATTCTTTATCCTCATAAAAGCTTTAAACTTAGAAAAAATATTTAATTTTGCATGTATTGTCTCTGTTACTTTTTCTTCCTATATCTTTGGGGAAAAATTGCTGTCAGAACGTTTTATTCTTTTCCCTACCAGCCTTTGGTCTCCTGCCTCATGGACACTAAGAAGGAGGTAAAAGGAAATCCTTTTAGATTAATGAAAAACATTTCAGACAACTTCTTTTATTTCTTTAACGTTTCTATCTGATCAAAGGCCAGGTCTGCAAACTTACAGAAGTGTGATCTATTTTTCTCTTTCAACTTAGTACCTTTAATCCAGGTACTGTCACACCATTTAATAACTTGTACTCCATAATGAAGCATCGCCCTCTAGAGGCAAGTATTCTGAATTACGCCCTTAGATGGAGAATTACAGTACTGTATCTGTGGGAGCTTAGTAATTGGCAGTAATTAAATTACAATACTGTCTGTGGGAGCTAAATAATTGGCAGTAAGTAAATGTGGGAGTTAAATAATGAGTACACATGGATGTAGAATTTGGAGTAATAGATAATGGGAACGTGGAAGGGGGTGGATAATGAAAAATTATATAATGGATACAATTTATGTCATTCAGGTGACAGATACACTAAAAGCCACAATGCAATATATACATATAACAAAATTACACATGTATCCCATACATTTGTACAAATAAATTTTTTAAAATCCAGGTTGAAATCTAATCAGAAACTCGATCTCCCAAAACAATACATATCAGGTTTGTGAGCTCTATATATGAATTAAAGTGTTTCACATGGAACAGGATCCACCTGTGGCAGCTTCTTTTCAGTATTGTAAAAATATATGAGGCAATGAATATGTTCTATAAATGTTTGAGAGCTTTCTAATTAAAATAATGATTTCCCCTACAGCACCATTTGGACTGACAACAGTTTTATGGTAGTAGACATTAAAAATAACAATCCCTTATTTCTGTCACTCAGTGAAGAAGAGCTTTACACATATAAGAAGGCAGTTGAATCCCCTGGTTGTGTAGTTAGCCTGTGTTCTAATTCAGCTCCATAACATACAACTGGGTAACTTTGGAAATTTGTTGATGGTTAACAGACCCGGTGTCCTCATCTATAACATCAGCACAATAATGGTATCTTCATCTCAGAGGATCTTAAAGATTAAATGAGACAATGAATACAAAGCTCTTAGAGCAGTACCTGGAACACAGCAGACAATCAGTATGTGATGGGTTATTGTTATTACCCTCCTCATTATCTCCAGTGAGTTTTTGGTAAATCATTCAGGTCTTCTCAGGTGTTCCTTATCTACTCCTGTTGTACAGCTCCTCTTGAATCCCACCTGGGTTTCTTGCTGAGCACAGCCAGGTAACAGATAACAGGTGAATCAGTCTTCCATCCTCTAATCAGAAACTGCAAAGAAAGTTGTTTAAATGTCTTGTTTTTGTGTTCCTGCTTGGAGATTAATATAATCTCCGCCCTTTGTCACTGGAGAGCCTGGGCATGTGATTCAATCACTCTTGTATTGTCATCAGGAAGGAAAGGGCAGTCTGCTATTGACTTCACTGATGTCTTAAGCAGCAAGAAAATCAGAGATTGGCTGTAGTGCAATTTTAACAATGGCAAAAAGGAGAAAGATGGTCAATGTATAAAAAAAGTGCAGGTGAAACAACCAATATTCGTTCCCTATTGACTCCCTAGATAGTACTAACCCAGAAATTAATGACGTGGGAAGTAAGCTTGATGGTATTTATTGAGGGAGGAAATGTCTAGTTAGGTTGGGGAGTGTCAGTAAATAAGACTGCATGTAACTGACCTCTGCTACTATCCTGGACAATTGACTTTCTACGTGTCATGAGAAACCAATTTTTTCTACTAAAATTTCCTACTGACAGCAGCCCATTTACTAGGGCAAATAACAATGTGGATGTGTCATTCTGAGCAGAGAAAAAGCCAGAGTCGTTGTCGGCAAGCGTTCATATACAGGAATGGAACAGCTCTCTTTGGACAGAACAGGTTAAGAGGTGTACAGGAGAAGATATGTAACACTTTGGTTATGAGCATGTATTTAAGGCATGAAAAAGGCACAATCCCAGATTCATCACATATTAACTGTATGATCCTCTGCAAGTATACAGTTTCTTTAATTCATAGTTTTCTCAACCTTATAGCAGGAATCTGTGAATACTAAACAAAATCATATGTATAAAGTACTTAGATTTTGCTAGCATATAGTAAATGCTCAAATAGTGTCCATTTTTGTTGTTCCTGATATTGTTATTCAGGAATATTATTGAGGAAAGAGGACTCAAAGCCCAGAGATCATAACTTAAAAAAACTCTAGGACAAGAGAGAGAAAGCAAAGAAAGGGAAATTGGAAAATATTGCCTAAAGTTTCACATTCACTAGTATGAGGAAACAAAATCGTCTGAAGGGCATTTTTGCTATGAAATCACGGCATTAGAAAGAGTATTGTACTGTATTGTTTTATATGTTGTTTTGATAAACTTTAGGAAATAAAGGAAATCTCCCTCAAAAGAAAAAAAAAGCAACTCATAAGCTAAAATCAAAGCGGGGAACCAAGCAGGAAGCACAGGTGAAACACTGGGTAACCTAAAGTGGTGCTGGGATCAGGAGACTCAGACCGGAGTTGGCAGCAGAACAGGGGTCATACCTGAAACTCCTGGAGTAAGCCTGGGATCCTAGAAATGTCTAAAGTGACCTGTTTGTTAGTACCCTTTAGCTGCCAGAAGAAATAAATGTAAATCTCCTCTAGATGAAAGTTTTCTCAATTTAGGTCACTAGGCTTTCACAGATTCAGATCAACAAAGTCTGGGACTACCTGACATGCAAGAAAACAGTTCTGTGTGAAATCAGTGGATACTATAAACATGAGATTGAGGTCTCCAGGAATTCAGATATGGATATTAATAGATATAGAACAGGTGGCCGGACACGGTGGCTTACAACTTTAATCCCAGCACTGTGGGAGGCCGAGGCGGGCCAATCACTTGAAGTGAGGAGTGGGAGACCAGCCTGGCCAATATGGTGAAACCCTGTCTCTACTAAAAATACAAAAGTTAGCCAGGCATGGTGGCACACACCTGTAGTGCCAGATACTTGGGAGACTGAGGTGGGAGAATTATTTGAACCCAGGAGGAGGAGGTTGCAGTGAACTGAGATCATACCATTGTACTCGAGCCTGGGCAAGTGAATAAGACTTTGTCTCAAAAGAAAAAAAAAAGAAAGATATAGAACATGAAATAACCATGCATAAAAAGTATAGAATTACAAAACTAAAAATCAACAAAAATGTCCAGGCATACATAAAGATGAGCCAAAAAGAACTTTTCAGGATCAAAATGTTATATTAAAAACAAATTGATAAGCTAAACAGCAAAATAGAGAAGTAAAAAATTGAAATATGAATCTAAAGTAACCAAAATATAGCAGAATGTGATGAGACAAAAATATGATTGTGTGGTTAAAAGAAATAGAAAATAGGTTAAGAAGGGCCTGACATATGTCAACTATATTTGAAAACTCTTTGCTGATAATTTTCTAGAACTGATGAAAGACATAGATCCATAGATACAGGAGGCCCTCATTATACTAAGGAGAGTAAAGGAAGAGAAATCCATATCTAATTGAACATTATTCTGTTTATTCAACAAATATCAATTGAACAGCTGCTGTGTACAGACTCTATTTTAGATTCTTGATGTACAAGAGTAAATGAACAAAGGTTTTTACTCTTCTGATGCTCATAACCTAAGTAATTTATATATTAGAAGGTAGTTAATGCTATGGAAAAAAAGAAAAGGTACAGCAGGAAGGGGGGTATTGAGAGTGCCGTGGTAGGGCAAGGAGTCAAAATGGCAATATTAGGGTCTTTTGGGGAAGATGTCTAAGAAAACACTTGAAAGCAGTGGCGTTAGACAGTCAAGATGAAAGAAAAGTTCCAGACAGTGGGTACAGCTAGAGCAAAGGCCCTGTAAGATAAGAATGTATTGAAGAAATGGCTGGGAGCCTGGTGTGGATGGGTGTACTGAGTAAAGGAAAAAATAGTAGGAGATGAGGTCATAGAATTTATGAAGGAGCTAGAGCCTTACAGATTATTGTAAAACCTAGGCTTTTACTCTGAGTGAAACAGAAGGCAATGTAGGGTTTTGAGCAGCAAAGAGATGAGATATAGTAATTGCTCTAGTCCCTGTATTGAGAATAGACTGTAGTAAGGCAAGAGTAGAAGCAATGAGACCAGTAAGGAGACGATTGTAGAAATGTATATGCCAAATGAGGGAAACTCTTGAAGATGGTCATACATGCTTTTATTGTATAATAATAGTTGTATTTCCTGATGGATTGAATGCAGCTATGAGAGACGGTGAGAAGGAGGATGATTCCACAGGAATATATGAGATGTAAGAAAAGATGGTGAACAAAGTAAATAAATGAGTAAGCATTTAGGTAAAGCTAAACTTTGCCTGCATAAAATAATAACTGCTTTAGATATTGGACACTAAAATTATTCTTGTATGTAGGCAAAGTTTGTTTAGCTTTACTTACATGCTAATATATTTAAAATGTACATAATGAAATTATTGAGCAATAATTAGAGAGGGTGATTATTGAGCAACTAAGGTCTTTGAGTTTCCTTATTAAGATATTGACTTTAGACTTATTAAAAAAACAGAAGAGATTTTCAAGGTAATCTGTTATAAAAATAGAGTAGATAGTTCAAAACCAGTAGAGAAGAATAATGGAATATAAGTAAGTGAAGAAAAATCATCAATTTTTAAAGGATTTGAATTGGAAGAAAAGTAGAGGTGCAAAATAGAACACGAAAAGCAAAAGTAAGAACATAGAAACAAATATAAATATATCAATTTATAAAGCATAAATATGTTTAACTCACCAATTAGAATACAGAGATTGTCAGGTCAGATTAAAATGTACACATACAAATTGGAGCTATATATTATTTATAAAAGTTATACAACATGTAAGGAAATAGAACACTTGAAATTGAAAGGATGGAAACAATATACTAGCAATCATTAACAAAAGAAAGTGGCAGAGAACAATGATATCAGCAAAATAGATTTTAGAATGACAACTATTGTTATGGATAAAAATGATTTAGTTCACTAGAAAAATACCAATCCTAAACTTGTTGCATCTATTTAAATAACCTCAAAAATGATAGAATTGCAAGGATAAATAAATAAGTGGGTAATAATAAATTAGTGTTGGGTAAAAATCTTAAGGGGAGTTTTCGGTGCATCTTTCTAGTGAACAAATATATCATCATGTATTTAGCCAGTCCTTACTGATGGACATTTCTAGTCAAAAGGATATTTAAAGCCAGATGTTGCCACAGTTATCAAGACAGATACTAAAACATTTATATCAAATACAGTAGCACATTTAGACTATTGGATCCAAATAAAGTGTTTGCTTTGTAAATATGTGTCTTTCCTTTGCAGAATTTACCATGCTGATAAGTTTTATGTAGATATGTATGATGAACACATACAGCTTGTATATCAGAAAATCATATTTTATATCATTCCTGTTTTTCTTTCTTTTTCAAGGAATATGGTACTGTTACCAGGAATACACCAAACTTCAGGAACACCCAAGTTCTGTGTTAACTATCTATGACATCGGGATTCAGACTAGCATAAGCATGTACTTTGAACTGAAACAAACATGGTTCACATTTAGTGAGTATTTTAAAAACTGGTTTCATTAAAATTGTAATAATGAGAAAATATCTTTTTGTCTAAAAGAAAATTTGGATGGGTATAACCTGTTAAATGTATTTATCACTAATGTCATAAAAGATAATGTGTCTATAATCCCCTAACTATAGTAAGTGGAAAAGTTATTGAGGAAAATTTACTGTATAACCTAAGAAAATACTACCTTACAAGGACCTCAAGCCATTTTCCTTCAAATTAAAATGATTTAGTTGTGGACATTTATAGGCATTAATCTGATGTCTAACAAAGATGTTTAAAAAGAGACAAATGCTTGGTTTTTCAGCTTTTTATTTATTTCATTTTCTGAGATAGGATCTTGCTCTATCATCTAGGCTGGAGTGCAGTGGCACAATCATGGCTTACTGCAGCCTTGACCTCCCAAACTCAAGCAATTCTACTACCTCAGCCTCCCAAGTAGCTAGGACCACAGGCGTGTGCCACAGTGCCTGATTAATTTTTTATAGAGATGGAGTCTGTCTATGCTGCCTAATCTGGTCTTAAATTTCTGGGATCAAGTGATCCTCCCACTTCAGCCTCCTAACATGCTGGCGTGAGCCACCGTTTCCAGCCTCAAACTTGGTTTTTAAAAAGAAAAAAGGAAAAGGAAAAACAAATAACAATTTTTTCATAAAACATTTAAACTACTTATAAGAATTATGAGTAATATCTGAAAATAAATTTGCATGTTTGAAGTGTTTCTTCAAGTTTTTTAATTTCTTAAGGATAGTATTTTTTAATATTAACAAATTTAAATATTTATTAAAATGTAACAAAATTTTTAAAGCAAGATGATTTCAGAGATAGTTTTAATCTTATATGTCTGGAATGGTGTTATTATAATGCTCTTTGTAAGATTCATGTTTTTTATTTTATTTTACTTTAGGTGCATACTATATCTGGCATTTCTCCCCATGTTATCCCTCCCCACCCTCCCCTCCCTGCCCACCCCCCGCTGTCTGTCCCCTACCCCTGCCAACTGTCCCCAGTGTGTGATGCTCCTCTCCCTGAGTCCACGTGTTCTTGTTGTTCAACACCCCCCTATGAGTGAGAACATATGGCATTTGACTTTCTGTTCTTGTGTCAGTTTGCTGAGAATGATGGTTTCCAGATTCATCCAAGTCCCTACAAAGGACATGAACTCATCGTTTTTTATGGCTGTGTAGTATTCCATGCTGTATATGTACCACATTTTCTTTGTCCAGTCTATCATTGATGGGCATTTGGGTTCCAGGTCTTTTCTATTGTACACAGGGATGCAATGAACATATGTGTGCATGTGTCTTTATAGTAGAACAATTTACAGTTCTTTGGGTATATACCCAGTAGTGGGATTGCTGGGTCAAATGGAATTTCTATTTCTAGATCCTTGAGAAATTGCCACACTGCCTTCCACAATGGTTGAACTAATTTACACTGTTACCAACGGTGTAAAAGTGTTCCTATTTCTCCACATCCTCTCCAGCATCTGTTGTCTCCAGATTTTTCAATGATAGCCATTCTAACTGGAGTGAGACGGTATCTCAATGTGGTTTTGATTTGCATTTCTTTAATGACCAGTGATGATGAGCATTTTTTCATATTTGTTGGCCTCATGTATGTCTTCTTTTGAAAAGGGTCTGTTCATGTCCTTGGCCCACTTTTGAATGTGGTTGTTTTTTTCTTGTATATCTGTTTTAGTTCTTTGTAGATTCTGGATATTAGCCCTTTGTCAGATGGGTAGATTGCAAAAATTTTTTCCCATTCTGTTGGTTGCTGATTCATTCTAACAATGGTTTTTTGGTTTTTTTTTTTTTTTTCTTCCTTTTTTTGCTGTACAGAAGCTCTTTGTAGATTCTGGATATTAGCCCTTTGTCAGACGGGTAGATTGCAAAAATTTTTTCCCATTCTGTTGGTTGCTGATTCATTCTAACAATGTTTTTTTGTTTTTTGTTTTCCTTTTTTTGCTGTACAGAAGCTCTGAATTTCAATTAGATCCCATTTGTCTAACTTGGCTTTTATTGCCATTGCTTTTGGTGTTTTAGTCATGAATTCCTTGCCTATGCCTATGTCCTGGATGGTTTTGCCTACGTTTTCTTGTAGTGTTTTTATGGTGTTAGGTTTTATGTTTAAATCTCGAATCCATCTAGAGTTAATTTTAGTGTAAGGTGTCAGGTAGGGGTCCAGTTTCTGCTTTCTGCACATTGCCAGCCAGTTTTCCCAACACCATTGATTAAACATAGAGTCCTTTCCCCATTGCTTTTTTTTGTTTGGTTTGTCAAAGATCAGATGGTTGTAGATGTGTGGTGTTGCTTTTGGGGCCTCTGTTCTGTTCCATTAGTCTATGTCTCTGTTTTGGTACGAGTACCATGCTGTTTTGTTTACTGTAGCCTGGTAGTACACTTTGAAGTCTGGCAGTGTAATGCCTTCTGCTTTGTTCTTTTTGCTTCGGAATGTCTTGGCTATGTGGGCTCTCTTTTGGTTCCATATGAAGTTTAAAGTGTTTTTTTCCAGTTCTGTGAAGAAGGTCATTGGTAGCTTGATGGGCATAGCTTGAATCTATGGATTACTTTAGACAATATGGCCATTTTCCTGATATTAATTCTTCCTAACCATAAGCATGGAATGTTTTTCCAGCTGTTTGTGTCCTCTTATTTCATTGAGCAGTAGTTTGTAGTTCTTCTTGAAGAGGTCTTTTACATCCTTTGTTAGTTGTATTCTTAGGTGTTTTATTCTCTTCGTAGCAGTTGTGAATGGTAGTTCGCTCTTGATTTGGCTCTCTGTTTGTCTGTTATTGGTATATATGAATGCTTGTGATTTCTGCACATTGATTTTGTATCCTAAGACTTTGCTGAAGTTGCTTATCAGTTTGAGAAGATTTGGGGCTAAGATGATGGGGTCTTCCAGATATACAATCATGTCGGCTGCAAATAGAGACAGTTTGACTTCCTCCTTTCCTAATTGAATACCCTTTATTTCTTTTTCTTGCCTGATTGCTCTGGCTAGATCTTCCAATACTATGTTGAATAGGAGTGGTAAGAGAGGGCATCCTTGTCAAGTGCCTGATTTCAAAGGGAATTCTTCCAGTTTTTGCCCATTCGGTATGATACTGGCTGTAGGTTTGTCATATATAGCTTTTATCATTTTATGATACGCTGCATCAATACCTAGTTTATTGAGAGTTTTTAGCATGAAGGGCTGTTGAATTTTATCAAAGGCCTTCTCTGCGTCTATTGAGATAATCATGTGGTTTTTGTCTTTGGTTCCGTTTATGTCATAGATTACATTTATGGATTTGCATATGTTGAATCAGACTTGCATCTCCGGGATGAAGCCTACTTGATAGTGATGGATAAGCTTTTTGATGTGCTGTTGCAATCTGTTTGCCAGTATTTTATTGAAGATTTTTGCATCTATGTTCATCACGGATATTGGTCTGAAGTTTTCTTTTAGTTGAGTCTCTGTTTTTGGTATCAGGATGATGTTGGTCTCATAAAATGAGTTAGGGAGGATTCTCTCCTTTTGTATTGTTTGATATAGTTTCAGAAGGAATGGAACCAGCTCCTCTTTGTATGTCTGGAAGAATTTGTCTGTGAACCCGTCTGGACCTGGACTTTTTTTGGTTGGTAGGCTATTGATTGCTGCCTCTACCTCAGCCCTTGTTATGGTCTATTCAGATTTTCAACTTCCTCCTGGTTTAGTCTTGGTAGAGTACAAGTGTCTAGGAATTTATCCATTTATTCCTGGTTTACTGGTTTTTATGAATAGAGATGTTTGTGGTAATCTCTGATGGTAGTTTGTATTTCTGTGGGATCAGTGGTGATATCCCCTTTATAGTTTTTTATTGCATCTATTTGATTTTTCACCCTTTTCTTTTTTATTAATCTGGCCAGCAGTCCATTTTGTTGATCTTTTCAAAAACCATCTCCTAGATTTATTGATTTTTGGAAGGTTTTTTTGTGTCTCTATCTCCTTCAGTTCTGCTCTGATCTTAGTTATTTCTTGCCTTCTGCTAGCTTTTGAATTTTTTTGATCTTCCTCTTCTAGCTCTTTCAATTTCAATGATACGGTGTCAACTTTAGATATTTACTTGTTTCTCATGTGGACATTTATTGCTATAAATTTCCCTCTCGACACTGCTTTAAAGGTGTCCCAGAGATTCTGGTAAGTTTTGTCTTCATTCTGGTTGGTTTTGAAGAACATCTTTATTTCTGCTTTCATTTCATTGTTTATCCAGTCGACACTCAGAAGCAAGTTGTTCAGTTTCCAAGTGGTTGTGTGGGTTTGAGTGTGTTTCTTGATCCTGAGTTCTAGTCTGATTGCGCTGTGGTCTGATAGACTGTTTGTTATGATTTCCATTCTTTAGCATTTGCTGAGGAGTGATTTACTTCCAATGATGTGGTCCATTTTAGAGTAATTGCAATGTGTTGCTGAGAAAAATGTATATTCTGTGGATTTGGGGTGGAGCATTCTGTATATGTCTATTAGGCCTACTTGGTTTAGCTCTGCATTCAAGTCCTGGATATCCTCGTTAATTTTCTGTCTCGTTGATCTCTCTAATATTGACAGTGGAGTGTTGAAGTCTCCCACTATTATTGTGTGGGAGTCTAAATCTTGTTTTAGGTCATTAAGAACTTGCTTTATGTATCTGAGTGCCCCTGTGTTGGGGGCATATATATTTAGGATAGTTAGCTCTTCCTGTTGCATTGATCCTTTTACCATTATGTAGTGTCCTTTGTTGTCTCTTTTGATCTTTGTTGGTTTGAAGTCCATTTTATCATAGACTAGGATTGCAACCCCTGCTTTTTTTTTTCTCCATTTGCTTGGTAAATCTTCCATCCCTTTATTTTGAGTCTATGTGTCTTTTTATGTGAGATGGGTTCCCTGAACACAGCACACCAATGGGTTCTGACTTTTTATCCAGTGTGCCAGTCTGTGTTTTTTGACTGGGGCATTTAGGCCATTTACATTCAATGTTAATATTG